ATGATGAACTTAATGATTTATTAATGATTATTACATCATTGATGCCTAGAATGTGGCCGTGTGGTCCAGGGAGGCTATAGGCCTTTTGTGTTTTTAGATCATAATATTTGTAGGAAGCCAATATGAGTATGTAACCGAAGGGTATATTTAGTGACCCCTTTTTATATTTATTTGTATATATATGTATTTGTACAGTTAAATTAATTTTTTACAATCAAATATGTAATATGTGTTCCATGCCTAGAGTGACACTTTCAAAGCCCCATTTTTTTCTCTTTTTTGCTTCAATGATACCAGGGGTGTGGTGTCCTGTTTTCCCGGGTGGCTCAGAACCGCTTTTTGTATCCAGGAAGATATAATAAAAATATTCCAACTATGTATTTATAATTAAATCTAAATCTAGCGTAAGTCTCTGAATCTGCCTTGGAGTTAGCTTCCAGCAATCCCTGCACAGCAGCACTCAGACTAGGAGAGTGGGGGGTCATCTATCTAAGCCAGAAAGGGCTCTGTTGCTTTGTATGGTGCTGTCAGTCTAACCCTGTAAGCCTACATGCTTACAGGATGGGATGACCCTTATGAGTGTGCTGCTTCTACTGAACTGTCCACTCGCATGCTGGGTTGGGTCCATGAGCAAGCTATATTACTTCACTGCAATTTCTCCAAGAGGGTCCAGGACCTATATATGATGTTTGGGGGTGTCTGGATTGCTAGAGTGGCTGAAGACAATTACACATCTATGGTAGGATAAAATAGTTGACATACATGAATCCCAATTGTGTATTTAGCCATATGCCTAGAATTCTGCTCATTAGACATGTACGATTCGTTTTGTTCCGAATCAAAATTCCGACAAATTCTTTGAAAATTCGGACACATCCGAATTTCAGAATCCCAATGCATGCGAATGTGTTCGAATGCGAATTTCGGTTTACGGTTTTTCGGTTTAATGCACCCGAATAGGTCTGAAGACAAACTTTTGTTATGGCAACATGGGAGCCATCCGATTGGCCAGAAAAGTCACATGCCTTAAAGAAAATTCATGTTCAGTATATACATATAATACTAAAGCTCCTAGACCTGAATAGCATTTGGGATCCGAATTTACGAATGCAATTCGGAAATTTGGATCCCGAATGCCATTTGGGTCCGGGAACCTCAGGTTTAGTAATATATGTATATGGCTCCCGGACCCGAATGGCAATCGGGGGCCCCCAAATGCAATTTGGAAATTCGGAACCCGAATGCCATTCAGGTCTGGGAGTCTCAGCTTTAGTGTTAATGTCTGTATATGGTTTTTCGTTTTACTTGCAACGAATATTCGTAAACTCATCCGAAACTAACGAAATTTGGATTTCGTTTAAATCGGAAACCTGAACAGAATTAAATTTCAGATCCAAATCCCAAAATTCCGAAATAACAAAATATCCGAACCGAACCAAAATTTTTCCGCAACTTACATGTCTACTGCTCATTGATACATTGAAGACACACACAGATCAGCCATAACATTATGACCACTGACAGGTGAAGTAAATAACATTGATTATCTGGTTACCATGCCACCTGAAAGTGGATGGGTTATATTAGTAAGCAAGTGAATAAGCTCATACGTTAGAAGCAGAAGAAATGGACAAGCAAATGTGCAAGGTAAGGAGATTTGAATGACTTTGACTAGGGCCAAATTGTGATGGCTACACAACTGGGCCAGAGCAACTCCAAATCGCAGCTTTTGTGAGATGTTCCCGGTATACAGTGGTCAGGATCTACCAAAAGTGCTCCAAGGAAAGAAAACAGGTGAACTGGTGACAGGGTCAGGGGTGGCCAAGGTTAATTGATGTACATGGGAATAGAAGGCTGGTCCATGTAGTCCAAGGGGTTGCAAGTAGAAAATTCTAAATATTAGGCTATAGTAAGTGATTGCACATGTAAAGTTATGAGTAAGGGGTTATGAGTTATGAGGGGAGAACTTAGGCCGCAGTGTACGCATCCCTGAAAGCACTGCCAGCTATGCAGAGGGATTCTGATATTGATTCTAAAATTCTCTGGACCTCATTTATTAGTGTATCGCTGGGCTGAATAAAACATGTTCAGCATGGGATTTTAACCTTTTGCTTCAGCAAATAGAAGATAAACAAATAAAAAAAGAAGCCTATAATTATTTCTTTGTATACAGCCTGACAGCATCACAGTCATAACATTGGAACATTTAATTGAATGCAATTTTTTAGCAAGCAGGTGGAGGTCGAGTCTCCTTTTCACCTGTCTTCCAGAGACTGTTGTAAAAAACCTTTTCACAGAGTTGCGTTGCTCAAGTTGCAAATTTACACAAAGAACTGAATGATCCATTAGCAGACAGTTTAGTCCAAATAAAATTTTTAATCAGGCAAAGGTATCCACAAGGTAGGCTTCTGCTATGCTGTCATTTAACAATAACATACCCATATTCATCTCGAAATCCTCTGTCATGTATTAAATGTTTATTTGTAAAACAAAGAATATATACTATAGCAAAAACAAAATACAAAACATCGGTTTCAAAACAACTATAATAAAACTGAACAAAGAAAAATGTAATTAGAATAAATTGAACAAAAAACATTAGGTGGTTATTCACTCAGCTGCCGAAGTGAAGCGAGCCGAACAATGTTTGGCTATTCACTTCGGCTCAGTACGGCTGATTTCAGCCAGTTGTTATTGTTTAATGACAGATCAGCGTCCCCATGCCATTTGGGGACCCTGATCTGTCATTACAACTGGGCGGAGCCAGTCCTGATCTCTGCCCAGCTGTTATTTGCGGGGGGTGTGGGGAAGGCCGGCCTTCGGCAGGCCGTTCGCCCCTCGTCGGCTCAGTCGAGCCAAAGCAAATGCCTTTGCTTGGCTAAGCCGCCTTTGGCCACTGTACGCGCTATTGCGAATAGACCGTACAGCAGCCCTTCGGTTCGACTGAACCTAAGGGCTCCTGTGGCCGAAGAGAGCCGAAGGATCAGCCGAAGCTATGGCTGGCTCCTTTGTGAATAACCCCTATTAGAGTTTCCCTTTAAAGCTGCAACTTTATCCTTCAAACATTGTGAATCAAGTCAGTTGTGAATGGTAGAGCAAGTATTCTGCAGTTACTCTTTTGCCCAATCTAACCTTTTCATCCACTGTGATTCTGTGTAACAGTGTTTCATGTTTCTATATCCCATCCTTGATAACATCATCAATGTAATACAGTAAGCAGAAGCAAAAGTGTGCAGGGTATACCTATTAATCTCCTGAGAGACACATGTGAGGCTAGAAGAACAGAGGGTGCTTAGACACTGTCACATGTGAGTAAGGGATCTGATGCATCTAATTGGGAATTATACACTAAAGGTATATTTTATAGCTTATTCACATTGCCATATTAAACTGTGCTAATCAATACATGTTAGGAAGCCAAACTCTGGATTTTAAGTAAAAGTCTGTCTTATTGCTATGTATCCCAGTGCTTTAGTGCTTGGAAACATTGCTATAAGGAACTGAGGACATGAACTGAAGGGTTCCTCTGCGGCATGGAATGACGTGAATGGTCCTATATTACTGAAAGCAAATAAAATATTGGGAATTATAAAATGAAGGGATGCAAGCACTGTGTGGATCCTGTACAAATCTCTTGCGAGGCCACATCTAAAGTATGGAATACAATGGCGGGTTCCACATTATAAGAAGGATATAGGAGATCTAGGGAGGGTTCAGAGGAGGGCAAGCAAAAAGCAAGGGAATGTCTTAGCTATACTGAAAAATTAGAAAAATTGGGCTTGTTTAGTTTGGGGAAACAAAATAATTTCAAGGGGACCATCAGTTTTTTGGCACCTTGCATCTCTTAGAATATAAAAAATAACATTTACTGCCATACTCACCTTATCTGTTACTGCTCCAAAATCCAGCATGGCTCATCTTCCAGGCTGAATAATGCTCAACACCACTTGTAGTTCTCAATGGAATCCAGCCCACATTATCCTGCAGCCTGGGATAACAATACTCCTGGGCTGAGTGCAACAGGCTGACCCTATAATGAGGTAGCCTGAAGCGGTTGCCTCAGGCAGCATTTCATTAGGTGGTGGCTGGGAGTGTTAGGGGTGCAGCCACAGTGTGACAGGTTGCTAAGAGCTCTTAGCCTGGCATCCTGCAAGCTGAGCAAGACGCTCTGGTTTGCCTCCCACTGAGCTCCTGCTACCCAGTGACATCAGTGAGCTGGGCAGGATGCCAAAAAGATACCCATGTCGATATGTTAAGAACATTTGACAGAATCTGAAAAATAGAGAAACTAGAAGTCCTATCAGCCACCACAGCAGAGGGACTTGCAGTTCTCTATGAGATGCACGTGCAGTGACATCAGTGCACTTGTAGTCAGTGCAGTGACATCAGTGCACAGTTATTCTTCCTGCTGTTCATATTACTGAATGTCCGTGCTGAGGTATGGACATAGACAGGAGGCAGAAACTACAGGAGCCAGAGCACTGCACCAATGATCCACTGATTACAGTTGCAATGCTTTACAGGCTCCTATGCAAACAAATTATCAATTCACATGTTTTCTCTTATGAAGACGCATGCTTTTATAATTTTTTCCAAAAATAGGACTTTACATTGAAGTGATTACATACATTTTCATTTCAATGTAGAAGTGCACTGCATAATGCACCCCAATTTACTGTTTGTATGAGAGACATACCTGATCAAACGACAGGGTTTTAAGAAAAAGGGATAGACCCGAGGGGGGATGAGGCAGCTTTAACGCGGCGGAGAGGGGGGGGGGCTTAAGTTCTGCTGATAAGTTTAAAATATACAAGGTGAATATAAATATTTGGTTAATTTCATTCTTATTGTAAAGACTTTCAAAGTACAAGGGTACATACGCTTTCCATGGAGTAAAGAAGCTCAATCGATCAGTATAGGAAGGACTCTTTACAGTAAAGGTAGTTAGACTGCGAAAATGAATGAGTATATATGAATAGATAATATTTCAGTGGTCCTACCTTTACATTTGAAGCATTTGATATGGAAATACTTATTCTGCACTCTCAGAACTTCCCCTTTGCAGGCAATTCCGCAGTTACTACAGAGGATTGCATTTCCAGCCGGCTTCTCAAGGTGGCTCGGCACAGCCTGATGCTGAGATACTGCTGAAAAGAATAACACATATTATTTTACAGACACTCAACCTTCCAATCACATGACTAATAGACTCAAATATCAGATTTTACAATGCGTCTGTCCGTGAAATTATAAAACAAACGCTTCCAAAGTACTTTTTAATCAAAAGAGATAAATAAATTAAAATCACATGACTGTGAGATTCATACAACATCCTAACCACTAGTATACAGTATGGGGGAATTTATCAAAACTGGAGCAGACTGAAACTGGAGCAGTTGCCCATGGCAACCAATCAGCTTCTCTCTTTAAGATTTGAAAATTAAGGAGAGAAGCTGATTAGTTGACAAACACAGCTGTTCCAGATTTTGTCTGCTCCAGTTTTTGACACCCTCTGTGTGTTTTTATAAACAAAATGCTTTTTGGTCACATCACTATACTGAGGTCATTACACTGATTTTTAACATGAGATTTATCAGAGAGCTATTTTATAAGAGAGTGCTGCATTACATGAGACAGCCATGTTCCAAGATAGAGCTGCCATGGTTTAACATATCTGTCACATTTCACAAGACTGCCAAGTTTCAAGAGAGAGCGGCCATGGTTTATCAGAACTGTTACATTACACGAGACTGCCAAGTTCCAAGAGAGAGCTGCCACGGTTTATTGGAACTGTTACATTACATGAGACTGCCAAGTTCCAAGAGAGAGCTGCCATGCTTTATCAGAACTGTTATATTACACGAGACTGCCAAGTTCCAAGAGAGAGCTGCCATGGTTTATCAGAACTGTTACATTACATGAGATTGCCAAGTTCCAAGAGAGAGCTGCCATGCTTTATCAAAACTGTTACATTATATGAGACTGCCAAGTTCCAAGAGAGAGCTGCCACAGTTTATTGGAACTGTTACATTACATGAGACTGCCAAGCTCCAAGAGAGAGCTGCCATGGTTTGTCAGAACTGTTATATTACACGAGACTGCCAAGTTCCAAGAGAGAGCTGCCATGATTATCAGAACTGTTACATTACACGAGACTGCCAAGTTCCAAGAGAGATCGGCCGTGCTTTATCAGAACTGTTATTTTAATTTCAATAGGTTTTTATTGAGTTTTCGTAACGGTAAAAAGAAAAAGTATATTGAACATATTGAAGATGGGCTATTTGCATATAGCGATAGTATTCTCCCTGAATTCCGTCTCAAGCAGCCATCCGTCCCAAGCGCTGGCCACGCCCCCCCAGAACTGTTATTTTAAATAAGACTGCCAAGTTCCATGAAAGAGAGCTGCAATGGATTATCAGAATTGTTATATTGTGACAAGGGGCCAATCAGGAAGCTGGGGAGCAGTTAATGACTCGCTGTCCAGCTTTCTGATTGGCCAGCTTCCCAACCAATCAGGAAGCTAGAAGGCGGGTCATTAAACACTGCCCGGCTTCCTGATTGGCTGGGAAGCCGGCTCCATGCTCCCTCGTCACCTGGTGGCAAGAGAGCATGAAGCCGGCTTCCCGGCTAATCAGGAAGCCGGGCAGCATGTAATGACTCGCTGCCCGGCTTCCTGATACCGGAAGTTCGGGTATTGGGCCAGGCATTGGAGCATTTGGGCGAGTACGGGTACCCGCTCAAATACTCCGTATCGGCACCTACAATGATACTAGTATCTGTATCAGTGCATCCCTAGTTATGTTAAATGAGACTGCCAAATTCAGAGAGAGAGCTGCCATGGTCTATCAGAACTGTTATATTACATAAGACTGCCAAGTTCCAAGAGTGATGCTCCTATGCTTTATCAGAACTTTGACATTACATGAGATTGCCATGTTCCAAGAGAACTGCTACTTCTTTCTGGCAGAGTTAGGTTACATCTTTCCCTGGACTACTAGTCATTGGTTCTATGTGTTATAGGTCTAGATGAGCCAAAGTGGGGAAACTGATCCATTATTTCCCATTGGCTGCAAAAATGTATGTCAATCCATTGGGGAAAACGTAACAATCTGGCCAAATTTTATGTAGCTGTCAGATACATTTTGAGGATAAGATATGGCATGCCAGACCAAGGCTGGAACCGAACATGAACGCCAGTCCATGCCTATCCTTCAGTCATATCAGTCTGTCATTTGTACTTCTGTACTTATGTATGGCAAACCACACCTTTCCAAAATGTGGATTTTACTGCTACAATCCCGGAAGGGT